ATAGATTTAATTTTAATCTACCTCCATTGATATGTTAGTTTTGAATGCACCAAATAAAAGAGGAACAGGGGAAGAAGAAGAAAGAGAGATGACAATCACCTATGTCTAAGTGAGGGGTTGTGGTTTAGATTTCATTAGAGGAAAAAAAAATGAAGTATGGTTGAAGTATAATTTGGTACAAAGTAGGTAGATTTTTGCAAAGAGTGAATATGGTGATGGGATCATTAAAATTTGAAACAAAAGGTAGTAAAAGAGGATGGAAATTTTAGAATAATTTAAGTATTGTGATTGATTTTTTTTTATTGAAACTTTTGTTTCAAAATGTTTAATTCTTATATTTTTAGTAGTTTTATCTTTTTAAATTTTTCAAGATTTTTACTAAAATCATTTATATAATTTTAAATATTTTTTTATCTTTATATATTCAATTTGGTGTTTAATTTTTTTTAACAAATCAAGTTGGTATACACAATAGATATTTCATTATTATTAAAACGAGTGGTTGGGCTGAAGTTTAAATTTCAATTTGTGCACAAGTAGAAAATAAAATATGTGGGGAAAATTAAGATTTTCTATTAGTGGAAATTATTTCATTTATGTCTCATCAAAAAAGCAAAAAAAATTCTACTCCCACTACCCAAGTCCTAAGTCAACCACTTATTATGATAAACAGGTTTCCAAGTATATTTAATAAAAAATTAAATAATAATTTAAATTTTAAATTTACTAATTTAGGAAAAATTTAAATTTTAAATATTTAAATTTGAGCAATTTAACTCCTACCAACCACCATTGATTTAAACGTCGTTTTTTCTAATGTTGGAGCCCAGACAAGTGGCATGAATTTTTTATTTTTTTATTTTTCTCCCTACGCGTCTTTGGCTCTCTGCATTCCTGGGTGGCATGTTTCCTCCCTCATCTCTCTCTCTCTCTCTCTCTCTCTCTCTCTCTCACTCACTCACCGGTGCGATCCCAAAAGGTGGTACTATTTGCTCCGATAATCGGGTGTTTGAGCATAGCGTTGAGTGATTCTGTTGTGAACCCACTTTTCATTCTTCATTGGGACTATTTGTAGCGAGATTTCTGAAGCACCTGAAGTGTGAAATTACTCTGCGAACGGGATCTTTTGCTTAGTTTGATCTCACCGATGGCTTCTTCACTGCTGAGTCTCTCCCGTCCTCTAGCTTCCCCGGTCCCATTCCACAATTCCCAAGTTTTTTTTAATTTATTTAAAAAAAAAACAGAATTTGAGCAAAAATGACAACACATTCCGGGTTTAAAATGCTCAAGCTTGAGTTTAACATTCTTTTCAACCTTAGTACTCTGTTTCTAGATTCTCAGAAATTGCAGGATGATGATAAAGAGCGAGGGATCTGGGGGTTCTTTGCCTGTAAAGGTTTTGTTGGTTTTGGAGCTGGATTTGTGCTAGGATCAGGTTAATCTGAAATGCAGTTAAGTGGTCGATATAATGAATATTAGTTTAAAAAGAAGAGCCATTAAAAGGCTAGTTAGCCTATTAAATAGAAAAGCTCCTTAACTTATAAAATTTTACTCAATTTGTGAGACTTTAATGTAAAACTTATGAAAATGTCATCTCGTTAAGATTCAATTATCTTTAATAACATCACTCTACAACACTTCACTCGACTTCTTATTTGTCATGACTTTCTATGAGTAGCATTTTTTATGACACTGACTTTTAATAAAAATATTAATGTAACGATCACAAATTTAAAGATAAAATCTATTCTAAAAAACTAATTTATTGAGTGGGAGAATTCTTTATCTTATAAATTTCATTCAACTTGTGAAGCTCCCACTGTAGGATTGATGACAGTTGAAGCCAAGATTAGAATTAGAACTTGATCGCCCAACTTCGATGGGTCATCCATGTATGTGGAGCCAATACAGGGATGATTGTGTGAGACCGGTAGCTTCCAAGCTCTCCCTCAAGACGTGGATGAAGGGTGTGAGCTGTCAGTATTAACCTGCATGGCAGGCATGCCACCACGGCAATACCAAGTCAAAACACACTCTCTCTCCCCTTTACTATGACAATGAACGTTTCTCCAAATTAACATTGGGGTTGAAATTGCTATAAGTGTAATTATTTAAGATTTAAAATATATTAAAAATGAATTTAGGATTAAAATTATCACTTAATCCTTTAATAAATTAATAAATTAATTTTATTTATGCACAATCATAAAGGTCATTTCAATCCCCTAAGTCATTGCTATAAATTATCCCCTGTTCGGCACACCGATTTTCTGTTCCCATGTGATGATTATATGAGTTACCTGACGAATCAAACAAAATATAAAACAATATGTTTATGTGTGTGTGTGTGTGTGTATCTATATTTTGTCTCATTCAGAATCAACCCAAAGAAAACAGAGGTTAAATTGTCTGGAGAATAATATCTTCAATTCTGCGACAACAACAACTGGTTGTTCTAATGGTGGCCAATGCTGCTTAGTTGGATATGCTATCACGTGCCAACAATCTTAAATTATTTCAATTGTTTTTAAAAAAATTGGATTATACAATAAGAAAACAGCGCGGATTCACATAGTATTGCCTAGGCGCAATAAGGGGGGAAAATCCATGATAATATATGAGAGTATCAGCCATGCTTTAATATTTTTTTTTAAAAAAAAAAGGAATCAATCTGATTGGAAACATGTTGAAAACAAGGTTCTTCTTCTTTTTTCCTCCTCCTTTGAAATATATAGGGTACATTAATCCTTGGAAAGGATACAAAAGTAATCAGATTACAGTCATAAAACCTAATCTTTTCATATATAATCTATTACCTTGTGACAAAAATATAGTAGTTAATCAAAAGCACAAAAGCTGCTTTTAAACTAGCATTCTGGGTTAGAAGTTGGACACAAAAATTTGCTTATCTATACATAAAATTCAACGACACTATTATAAAACAGTCTTCGGCCTACTCAATAATGTCTCTAAGAAGATGTTGAAACCTTGAATTATAGCAATGATCTTAGGCTCCATTTGGGTAATTTACATTCCACTTTTATAAAGTACTTTCTTACTTTTAAAAAGTAAAATATCATTTGGGTATCATATTTTACTTCAAATCAACTTTTTAAAAGTATTTTGTGAATGTTGTTGAATGTAGATTTGGTAAAAGTTATGGGGAGAAACTTTTATAATGTACTTTTGAAATGTGATCCCTTTAATTTTTAATATGATCATGTTATTTTAAAATTTTTTAAGACTCTTCTACTTTTAATCATTCTTTATATTTTTGTTACATAAAAATTCTTTATATTTTTTACTCTTGAGATTATTTTTGTATAATTATTTTCATTTTACTATTAAAATTTTAAGTACGACTTCTAATAGAAAGATGAATAGAATTCGTGATTCAATTCGAAACCAAATTATATGTTATAAATTAAACAACTAATCATGTTAATTTTTAATATTAATGTATGTTAAATTATTTATTATATAATTTCTTTCAACATATCAAACTTTATATTTTATTATTATTATTTTAACATATCAAATTTTATGTTGTTCAAAATTTTTATCACATTTTTTAAATATTTATAATATATTACATTTGTATAACAAAAATTATAAATCATCATAAATCAATATTATTTTTATTAATTATATATTTAAAAGCACATTTTACTGTATAATTCAAACAACTTTCAATTTACTAAATTGACTTTTAAAAAAATATATCAAACACAAATTTTATTATAATAACTAACTTTTGTCAAATGAATTTTTAGCAAATGAACTTTGGATAAACTGAAAATCAAACATATAATTAATAATAGCAAGAGGAAAATGGCCAACATTGTAGAAGAAACTAGCAATCCATTTAGCATTTCCATTTGGGATCACACCTCCACGTTTGAAGATGCCATCCTTGTTACTCTCACATGACTTTGATCAAAGTAGTGTTTTGAGAACTTGTTAAAAACCTGGGTTTGCAGCTTTCAAGACAAAACTACTCCCACGTTGTTTTGATCAAAGCCATGTTTTGACTAAGTTAGCAGATTTCCAAACATGCACAAAATGACATCCCCCATTCATTTTGCATTCAGTGTTTAAATAGTTTTAAGAAAACATAAATGTAATTTTGGGACTCCTATTAAAACTTGTAAACAATATTCAATGAACCATTTCTAGCATACAAAACAGAATATTGACTTCTTATAACAAGCCACCATCACTTCGGTAAGGGACCAATCCAGGAGGATTACTTACTTGGGAGGCAAGAATTGGAAAATAAGAAACGGGGTGGGGGATAAAAATTCTTGATCTTTCTACAAGTAAAAAATATACAAGTTATAACAAATTATGAAAGGGAGACCCCCCCCCCAGGGCGATTCATCACTGCTTCGGTACGTTGTATAGAATTTGAGAAATAAGCCGCATATTCATGGCATGAATAGCATAATTCATTAGAAATTTTACATTAATTTTATATGTGTGTGTATTTATGTATGCATGTATACCAATATATATATAACAATAACAAGTATTATCTCACTAGATAAGATATGTATGATGTCATCATGCTCTACCATCAATTAAGTTTTTAAAAATATTGTTGATCAAGAAGTCTCATTGAATCACTTCCATTTATATTTTCTTTGATCTTTATATCTATCCCTCTTTACATAATTCAAGATTATTTGTCCACTCTTCTCGTTACGGTGTTTGTCATGGCCTTCTTTGTACATATTCAAATTATCGCAAATGATTTTTTATCATTTTTGCTCAATAGATGTCACACTTTTTTTTTATATATTCATTTTGAATTTTATCTTTTCATATATACCTACACATCCATTTCAACACTCTCATTTCTCTCCTATTCTAACTTTTCTATATGTATAAGTCAAAGAATTACAATTAACTATATTGTTTGTATTCTTTTATGCTTCTCCTTTTCTGTTCTAGTTCCACGTATTGCATCGAGAAATGAAGTGGGAGAAAAATTATCATACTAGAATGAATGACCATCATTTCATTAGACTCAAAGCTCAAAGGAAATAATAAAGACAATAATAATAACAATAATCTATGATCCCTTAAGTGAAAATTCTCAAGTTCAAGTCCGTGTGAATGCAAGAAAATTTCTTTGGAAAAGCTACCCACAATTATACCTGACAATATTTGAATTTGACCCAGTCAACTAGAATAAAATCAGGTGGTAAAGTTAGGGATAGCAGCATGGGGCAGGGTGGCCTTAGCAGATGGAGAAGGCTCAACAGTTGGGGAAGGAATCACAGCCTTGCCAGTAAGCTCATCAGGCAAGTCAGCAATGCCCTTCAAAGAGAAAGTGTAGAAAAGCTTGAAAGGGAACACAATCTGGTGAAGCTTCACATGTCCCTGAACTCCTTCAAATATTCCAGACCCTCCTGTCACAGCCAGAACTGTGTCTTGGTATGTCAGATAAGGTCCTTGAATTGAGATATGGCCATAGTCCCCAAAGTAGAAGCTGTAAATGGCCTCATATCTGTCTCCTTTCTTGTCAGGAACATGTTGTATGAGCACACACAGACCTGATGTAATGCCTATCCTCTTCTGCAAGTCTCCAGAGTAGAGCTTGTTGCTGAATGGCACTAAGTCTCCCAAGGAGTTCTCTGTCTTCCCACTTAGCCTCAGGTATGCTGGGCTGCCTCTGTCACGTTCATTGATCTCATACACACAGAGTTCTTGAATCTTGCCGCCTGAACCATTCATCATTCAATTCATCACTCAATCAGGAATGCTGTGCTACCCAGTAATGTTTAAAAAACATGTTTTAGGTCCAATTTTAGCCTATTGGGGTCAAGGTCCTATACTTTTTTTCATTAAGGAATTAGTCCTTATAATTATGGTCAACTTTAATTAAGGTCTCTAGTGATGACATGTCCCATGTATAGTTATGTGGCAGTGATGTTTTGTGAACTGTGAGGACTTTGATCAAAGTTGACCACAACTCAAGGCATTAATTCCTTAATGAAAAAACTACATAGGAACGTTGGCATAAGTTGATCAAAACTCCAAGGAAGAAGAAAGTTCAAAAAAAAAAAACAGTTTTTGGTCCAATTTTAGCCAATTTGGATCAAGGTCCTATTCTTTTTCCATTAAGGAATCAGTTCTTATAATTATGGTCAACTTTTGGTTAAGATCTTCGTGATGACGTGTCATTTAAGTAGTTGTGTGACAATGGTGTTTTGTTACCCGTAATGAAAAATTATAGGGATACTGGCATGAGTTCATCATAACTCCAGGGAACAAAAACTATGTTTTCCGAAACTTTTTTCATGCAGATTTGATCCTCTAGGTAGTGGATGATCCTAGCCAAGGGAAAAGGGTGAGAGAAGAACTTACTCGGCTTTGAAGAATCTTGCTGCTGCTCCTTGGGCTTGTTGAAGAAAAATGCTGAGATTTTGGAGTTGTATGAACTTCTCAAGGATGGAGATACTTGATGGCTGGTTGAGAATTTCAAGCTTTGGTTGGGGCAAGACTGAAATAGATTACAACCCACTTGGTTTTTGGAACGAGAAGAGGAAGAAGAAGTGGGGTGGGAGATTCTGAGAGAAGAGACCATTTTCAGAGAACCAGTGGAAGCCATGGATGGTGATGATGGAGGAACTATGGTGGATTCAAAGCAAGATTTCATATTTATAAATGGGAAATCATTAGAAAAATTCGTATTTATCCCACGTGGATGTCCAGTCAGGTATGAAATTAATAGTACATGGACATGGTATGAAAAGGTAGGCGTCGGACAAGACATGGAACCTTCATGTTTACCTTTTCCTTTTCATTTACTTTTTCCCTTCTTCTGATTTGAATTTTTCATCTCAACAAGTCATTTTCACCCTGAAAAAAATAATTGACAATATACGTTTTTCGTTTTTGGGTATACACTATACAGGGACGTGGCAGCATTTACTTGAAAATTATAAACCTATCATTAAAAAATTTGTATGGCGGAAGAATCTTGGTTATAGTGGCTGCTAGTCTGTATCAATAATATATTATAGGTTAGACATCACATGAATTTGTTGGTTGAAAAAAAAAAAAAAAAAAAAGGGAGACATCACATGAATTTGCTACCAGGAAGGTATCAAGTTGCCAAGTCGAAATTTTTTACTTTATAATAAGAGAATCTACAAGTCGAGACATTTTACTCATCACTTCCAACAACTTGACAAGATATAATATTATCTTATTTTCAGGTGATCCCTACTTTACTAAATTTGAATTGTCACAGTGATAGATAAAACAATGGGCTACTTCAAGGTTAATCGTCCAGTCAAATATAGACAGTCCAAATGTTTTTAATTAAAACTAAAAAATAATTCATAACAAATTCAGATAAAATAATCAAGCAATTGACCTTTGCAGTTGTATTTCAGGTAAGAAAATTAGCAGTTCTAGGAAAGTGATGATGAATAACTTCAGACAGAAATGAACCAGTGACAATTTCAACAATAGATTCAATTAGGAAAAGGGAAGATTTAAGAAAAACTAAATATATTCACTCCATGCATCCATGTACATTTTTCTTTTGAGATGGCCCAGGGATTAACATTCGTGAACAATATATTACAATATTAATATATATAGGTTAGACACCACATGAAAACTCACTTTTGTCAACGAACTGAGATTAAAAGTTATTGGAAAAGGCGCATCCGGCTCAGCTTCATCTAGTATTCCGTGGCCTATCTCCAGAAACCTTTTAAAATTCTCATCCTAAGAAGTCTTCCCAGGACCTTCAAATGCCAAATCAGACACATAGTTCATGCCCGCATTGTATTGCTAACTCCTATTACAATTCCACAATTATTTTTTTTTTAGGCTGGTACAACCGACCGCTTTATGGTAATAGCTTTGACTTGGTGTATAGCAGAAACTTCATACTTGTCTTTGCACCTAGGATGGGTACAAAAAGTCAAATAACTCTAGTGCCAAAAAAAGTCAATAACTCATAAATGAGGATTTTTTGAGTGGCAGAATCCACTGATAAATCTATTGTAATGAGTTTTTATTAATTCTCTGCACTAACTTTACGTGTGAAAAGAGTGTACATAACAATTTTTTTTTTTAATATGCTATTGGAAACACGTACCATCGAATCTCTCTATATCCATATCACATCTCCACTGTGAGAGCCTTCAATATTGAGATTCTAAAGAGATAGTGGCATTCAAGTTCTCGGGGCTCTTCGCCTGTCTGCATAATTTCATGTAAATTTCTCCAGTGGCAGAGCGAAGAACACAAATTTTACAACTTGTAAGTATACATAATTTCAAGACTTTAGAAGTGACACGATCTTTGGTGGGGGAAAAAGTTACCTCATCAACACGTTGTCAAAATTTCAGCTCCAAAGCCAGTTATCAAAATGGTATGCTCAAACTGTGCAGCGGGACTACCATCTTTTGTTACGGCTGTCCAGTTGTCCGGCCATGTAATGCACTCGGTGCTTCCCATTGTAAGAATGGGCTCTGTATTAGAAGTTGAATTTTAAGGGTGAAAATGTGAGATCCAAGGATTTTAAACCCAGCTTGACCAATAGAGAGAAGCAGCCTGTATAAACTTACCAATTGTAAATGTTTGACCTTCAACCATGATACCAGGATTGTCATTACCTGTCAAGCATCAAACAGAATTTTATTTTTATAATATAAAACCGCTTCTCCCACCTCCTGACCTACCTCCAATAAACAAAATGTTGGAAAGAAAAGGGGGAGAGGGGGGCCAAGGCCAAGGAAAGCAATATACAAGGGTTGTCTTGGTTCTCATGAGATTCGAGCACTCACTTGAAAAGAGGACAAGAATCAGTAAACACAAGCAGTTTTACTGATCTTTCAGCCGTAACAATCAACAAAAAACTTTTAAAGGTAACGGCCTGGTACTCAGTGTAAAAATAGAAATATTTTCCTACTTGAAGTTCACTAATATACATCTAGGTACCCCAATATATACTCTATTATTAAAGCGAAGTCAACATTGGCTTATGGTACAGTAAAGGCAATATAAGGAAAATGTCACATTTAAAAGGCAACTTACGGTGATGTAGGATTATTGGCTCTGAATGGAACACTGCTCCTACACCATGCCCGACAAAACGTTCCACTACACCAAAGCCATACTTTTCAGCATGTTCACTGTAATAACGTCTCACAAGTAAAGGAAGAAAAAAAAAGTCAAAATCTATAGAAATTATTATGTTTTGCAGATCACATGACCAACTCATTCAAATTAAAATCATACTATTACATATAAATATATGAATGTCAAAGACTACAACTCTAAATAAATGTACAAACTCTAATGTCATACACATTTATTTTCCAAATCTTCATTTAGAGAACACATCAATGATTTGACTCCAATAAAATGCTTTTTATTTTTATTAAAACTCCTTTAAAAATTTAAGTGTAAAACTAAAATGTTCAGTAAATCCACAATTACATTTAGCAATTTTATGCATAGTTTTAATATTATCTGATTCTTTTGGCCTCAGTAGTGACTTAGAACATATATTTATACAAAACTATATTTAAATGTCCATGTAGGTATCTATATTCTTTTAAGAACATCTTGTATAGCTAATAAAATCTTTATTCCTTCCATTGAAATTGCTTTCATAACATTGATCAAACTGCCAATTGTACACGATCAATATAAATGGCTACAAAAGAGAACCAATCACCCAAAATAAGCACTGTCTTCTACTTCCATGCATTTAATTCTGCGACCTTATGCCATAAATTCATCATTTCTAGTTATTTGTCACATGATCGTGAATAACAAAACACTTTCAAGTTGTGCTTGGTGTTTGATATTCTGAGGGGGTTTTTTTGTTACATTTTAAGCTTAAATTTTAGCAAGTGACCCTGCCTAGGATGATAAGACTTCTTGTTGTCATTGTTGTTGTGTTGAATTTTTGTAGTTCATGTGCCAATTTTGTAATGAGATCTAAGTTCATAGGAATGAAATGTAGTTTCCCCTTTTTGTCTCGAGCTGTTTTCTTTTTTAAATAGTCCATCAGTGATTAGCAAGTACATTTAGCGAAGCTTCAAAGGAAAAGGGAAATTTCCAAGTGCATACTAGATCAAATGCTAACAGCAATACCTCCCCAAACTTTCAGGTTTGTTTTCTGAGAAAATACCATCGTGTGACGAATACATAGAGGTAAGATAGTGGAGAGGGTGCTGACATAGTCAAACAGAGATAAATTCAGTAACAACCCACGATAGAAGACTGTAGGATGCATATACCCCACCAAGCCTGAGTCTATACCATGACCAGCACAATGATAGAAGATAGTAGAGAGGGTGCCGAACAAGTCAAACAGATTGCAGGATGCATGTACGCCACTAAGGTTGAGTCTAGGATCAGTTATCATGTCATTTATATTGTGTATTATATTTCTTCTGTATTTTAGTTATAAATAGGATTAGGAATCCTCTTCTCCCTATTTTATAGAAGCTAGTAGTGTTTTCAGATTCCAGCATCATTATCTTCGATAGAATTTCTCTCTATATCTCTTCTAAAACCCCAATTCTATCAATTCCACTTAAGATCTACGGTACCTGATTCTCTTTCCAATTTTGTTAAAACTTGCACCATCCTTGCAAACAGCTATTCCCATCTCCAGGCACTCTTCAGTTACCTGCAAATATTAGATCGAATGATACAACCAATTCATAAACTAAACACTTCCATAAGTGACATAATTAACTGTGGAATCAATATGTAAGATAACAAATAATACATTAAGAAAGAAATATTCTTTCAATATACAACAGGTTAAACTAGCAAAATTTCTTTTTCTCCATGGAGATCAGCAGCAAATCACTCACCTTAACAAGGCTTTTCATTGCATCACTGACTTCCCCACAAAAAAATGTCTTTGATGTGTCTCCATGATATCCCTATGAAAGCATATAAAAGGGCATGAGATTACTTGGTCATCAACAATAGCAGCCAAATATATCGGAATTAGATGGCTGTCTCGGTGATACACCTTGGCAGTTCAGTAAGCAGCGTGCTGCAATTTTTAACATTATGTAATCTTTAATATGGAGAAAAGAAGAGACTAAGTATAGCTTGCATGATTATAAACAATACAATAACCAATACAAATAAAACATGGCTAACATGTTTGAACTTTGAACTACTAGAAACTATGAAACAAATGCTTAATTGAAGACCAAAATTAATCACGCATACTATTTTGTTTGGAAGGTAACAAGCCGTATGATTTGGTTCTTCAAGATCAAATCTATTCATAGCATACATGCATAAACCAGCTAGATATATAGAGGATATAAAAGAAATTATATGGATATTTCTCAGACATGTGCAGATCATTATACATACTTACTTTAGTTTCCTTTCAATTTTTCTTTATTAAGGAAAATTCATAGGAAAGGAGAAGCATAAACATCAACTCAAATTCTATTTGCCTAAACTCACAAAGTAGTTAATTAATTATTGAATTTATCCACTGCATTGGGAATTGATTCCTTAATTAACCACAAAGTAGTTAATCAACTTCTGGAACAAGATAAAATGAATTCACAAGACATTGCAGCTGCACTGCGTCAAAGCCAAGTGAAAAAATGCAGTTGGAGAGGATGTCCATTTCTTCAACTGAACAAAATGTGATAAAACAATCCCCCAATTTATAGGGATTAAGTAAGATGACAAACAAACAAGGAAATATTTTAGATATGCAGGAATAAAGTAGATATCAAAACCCAGTTGCATGCTGCGCTTGGTTGAATGAACTTCATCTAGGGATAAAAGCAGGCCAGGTAAACCTGAATATGTTATCATTAAGAATAGAGGAGCATACATTCAGGTAGACTGTCACGTCTATGTTAATAATGTCACCATTCTGCAAAAAAGATTATTGTTATCACTCATCAGTTGAGCTATTTGCATATTAAGGATGAAAACATATGATAATTTAGTCCTTCAAAACCTGTAGCTTCCGAGAATCAGGTATTCCGTGGCACATGCACTCATTAATTGATGTGCACACACTTTTTGGAAATCCACCATAGCCAAGAGGTGAGGGATAAGCACTGGCTTCTATTATCATCTGATGGACTGCTTTATCAATTTCATCAGTTGTCACAGAAGGCTGACAATATCAACCAAATAAATGTCAGACACAAAATTGAGAGCACAGTGAACCATGAAGCAGTTGATAAGGAAGGATGGGGAAACATCATGAAAATGAAAAATGAAAAGATGCCATTTGTCCCTAAAAAAAGGACATTCGATCAAGGTTATGGAAGTAAACTTCCTAATGTTCTTGGTTGCAAGTTCTCACCCTCGAACTACAGCTAAGTGCTCAAGTCTTAAATGATCGAATAACTGATATAATTTACAGTCCAATAAAGGCCATCAGACAGCTGGAAAGTGTAAAAGCTTTCAAACTTTCCATTAAACCCCAAAGCCAAGTGAAGGCATGTAATATCAAGTTCTTTTATAAGGGCTCAAAATTCTTTTAAAAACATGCAGTGAAGATATCATAGTAATCATGAATATCATGATCATGATGATGGAAGATTATGCAAATATGTGAAATATAATCATTAAAATACACACAGACACACAATATCACATCACAGATTCATGAATCTGTCCATAAGCCCTATTTATAGAGAGATAATTACAGCAATTGAGAAATGAACTCTATCATGAAAGAGAAATTGAATGTCAGATAAATACATGATTTATAACATATGTTTGAAGAAGAAAGTCCTACCCTCACTAGAGTCCCTGCATAGTTTAGGACACGAGCAGCAAGCTCACATGCAGCCCTCATGCAAGCAATGCCTTCAGAATCATGGATTTGATACTCACTGGATATTTCAGGCAGTACATCTGAACCTACATAAGGAGGCCTTGGTATGTGATTAGGGACAGGCAGACGTGGTGACACTTTTCCACGCCTTAATGGAGGCCTTCTTCTAGGCTTTGTAACACCAAGCTCACGTTCTCTAGACATGACATGAAGCTAGAAAAAATATTACTGGAATCTTTTGCTATGTTTTCTTTCCATCATTAAGCATTAAGACTATCAACTTCTATTCAGATAAAAGAAGAAAAAGAATTGCAAAAGTTTCATTTTTTAAATAGGGAATAAAAAAAGGGCGCTTTGGCTTGATTGTAAATGGACATATAACAGGAGCATGCAGTAAGCTTTTTATTTTCGCTCTATATGCTTCAAGATTTTCTATGACAAAAATATATAAGATGCAAACGGATGAGGGGAAAATAGATGGTTGACAGTGAGGCCTCCCACATGTTCTGTTTTCTATTTAAGGACACGCCCTGGAATGTTATTAACATATAAGACAAAAAAACACGCAGTCATAAAATCAAGTGCAATGACTGCTGAAATCTTTTACTGAGGGCTTGCTTACCACCATATGTATATAATTCAAATAAATCAATTTAGTCCTTCGGCATGCAAAGATATTTATGAATTAAGAAAAAAAACAGTTATAGTTGAACGAAAAACTTCACCTCCCACCAGCCACCCACTCAATTCTTTCCATCGAGCATAAATCATAAAAGAATCGCATCTCGCTAAACAGCTTAGAAGACCAAAATAAGCCGACTGTCCGACATAGAAGGCAAACAACTTACTAAACATCCAGAATTTTCCCGTGAACTTCAACATCAGATATTTGGCTACTAAATTGAAAATGCAAGTTCAATCCACCACAGACAGGGTACAACTTTACCGCAGTTGTACCTTTTGATTCTCATCGCCTCCTCCAATCCTGACAGCCTCTTAGAGAAAATCATTAGTTGTTTTTTAGAAGGAGGTTGGTTTGCTGGAACAAAGAAAATAATCAAAAAGATATCCCTCTATCGAATCACCGGAAGGCAGGAAACATGAAAAGAAAGAATTACGAAATCTCGCCAAATAAATGTACTGTAAAACAGAAAATTCAATCAAAGCCCTCTCATTTGAATGAACTACGTGAAAAATCTGAAAAGGAATGAGACTTGGAGTTGAAGTGGTGACGAACCAGAGGACGAAGAGCGTGAGAAGGTTAGAGAAGTTCCCATACAACTCGATGAAGATGATAATACTTCACCATGAAGGAAAGCTGAATGTTTCAGAAATGCACTATGGGCAAGCGAAGCACCGAACGCCATTCTAGAGCGATTAGACAAGATAACAGAATCAATGAAGTCCGGATTCGAGGATTTATATCTGTTTTTTGACAATTGTTTTCTTTTACAACACTACAAATACAGAAAACTTGTAAATGATTTGTTCTGGCCCAAAAATGATTGGGCCCATAGATGCAGTTTCAAGAAAGCCCACAAAAGTTGGGCTTCAAGTGAGAACCATCACATGAAAAGCTTAATTTTTATTATTTTTGGTTGATCAAATATTAGATACTCCCTCCATTTAAAAATATAAGGCATTTTTTGAAGAGTTGAATGTTCAAGTAAGACATTTTTATTCTTTTAAGATGTAATTATTGCCTTTTTTTTAAAGTGCCTCTATTGATAGTAACTTTATATTTATTATAGAGTATTTAATAGAAATAAATATGAAAAAATAAGGTTAGTTTAAAAGTAGGTAATTATTTTATTAAGAGTGAGATTTAGTTAAAAATGCCTTATATTTTTTAACCGAGAGAGTATATTACTTTCAAGAGCAAAAATCAGCTTCTAATATGGAAAAAGGTTCTTGCTAGTGATGCATAGAATATAGAGTAAACTAAAATGGAAAAGGGTATACTACAGTTTGAACTTTTTTTGTACTAAATTGTTTAGAATTTGAAATTAATTTCGATTAGATGTAAAAAAGAAAAAGACGGTTAATAACAATTTCTTGTATCCTCGATATTGCATTTCTTTCTCGAAGTAGTGATTAATCATAACGATTCAACTCAACTTCTAAATTATTCCCTCCGGTTTATTTTTTTTCTTTTATTGGTACTTGAAAAAGAATTTTTTTTGTCCTTTTTATAAGGTATCATATAGGATATTTTTACATTTTTCCTATATTGCCCAATGTTAGTTTACGTTTCTGTAAATTTAACTCTTCGGCTTCACAAAGGATCAATTTTGTAAGGATAAAATTGAAAGTCTTATTAATTTTCAGACAAAATTAATGAATTTTTATAAATATCTCCTTATTTAAATTTCGGTAAAAATGTTGAGAGAAACTTATAAAAACAATTAGATGGAGTACTTCTATATAACGTTAACCCTTCCATCCTCTTATAATTCATTGCTTAATAACAAAATTGTTGTACTAACGCATTGAGCCATAGGTACTTGATTGTGTAAAATATATTAATTAAATATTAATATATCAATAACAATTACAGTCAATTACAATAGCTCAAGTCATCTCAAATTTCATGTGTTATATATATATATATATATATATATATATATATATATATATGTATATCTTTTCGATTTGAAAAGGATATAAAGGTGAAGGCAAAACAAGCCATAATGGCTTTAGCGTAGATGATTGACCTAAAGCAAATCAAAGCAGTTGCCTGGAGGGTTGTGTCATGTTTGTGTGCCTACCTTCCAACACGCCAAACATGCTTAATTAACTAATTATTATGATATTAATCAGAATCTCGATGAAACGAACAATTAAACTTGTTAAATTTATATAGAGATCGATTATAGAATGATTAATGAAAAAGTGAATGCTATTATTAATCTGAAATAAAAACGAGACGCAAAAAATGATCACTTTGTTAATAATTATTAACAAGAGACCCTTATAATTTTTTTTATTATACGTGAATATTTTCTTATGGGAGATAATAATGTTTGAAATATAGTCAAGCATTAAATATAAACATTTCGTTTAACAAAAAAAAAATAAACTGTGATTCATCATGTTATGGAAGATTGATCTATTTTACTAGATTCAATCCATATTAGTGCCATGTTAGTGAGCGGTGTTGAAATAAAATTCAACATATGAGGCTACACATATAAATATTAAAAATGAGTGGCCATTGTTATAATTTGGCCTAAATAAAGTGTTCTACTTGAAAATGTTTAATTTGAAGGCTTAAGGAGTGTAATTATTATGGAATTAATGTGTAGTTCAAATTACAAATGTTACAAATTTAAATCTATGAATAGAGGTCATGGACTCGGTTTCCAAGTTAGGAATAATGAGAAACTAGTTCTTTAACTTCTTTTTGAAGAATGATAAGAAGGTTTATAATATTTGCAATCCAGAAGATTGCCGTGATAATCTATCAATTTATGGAATCTTGTGACATTTTTTACTATACAATTGATTTTCTTTTATTCCTTTGAAGTAAAATGAGATTATAATTAAGTTTAGGGATTTAGTTACAATCAATTCTATGATTTAAATATGAAGTGGATTTATCATGAACAACCAACAAGCAGAAATTATAATTGATATAAAGAGAAATAATTAGGAAGACGTGCATGCATACAAGTCCTACACGTCATTTTGCATGCGTCGACGCAAGAAGTTACTGAAATTGAAGTATTCAAACCCTAAAATAAAAATCCTCCACGGGGCTAAACTTACTCTGTCATATGCGTTTGATCTTAGTCCAGATCTTAATTAGAGCTTATTACAGGAATTTTTTACAGTTATAAAATTTTCTTAATTAAGAGGCAAAAAATGGAAAAAAATATATATATATATATATATATATATAACTTCATAAAAAGTTTATGATTAAAAAAAAAAAAGACGTGAGAGATTTCAGAATTAACAGACTAAGACTTTCCAGCTTCCATATGGGACCCCTTCTTACAGCCTTACTTTATTAGTAGCATATCATTAATCCCCCACCTATAAAATATTAAACTTATTGGGTAATTAATTAAGTAGATTATTTTTCACAGCTCTAAGAAAAAAATGTGGGGGCAACAAAGAACGATGCTATTCAATCTCTAACCAACTTCGACCAAATTTAATATGGTGCTTTGACTAAAGAAATGTCAACTTAAACTTTTGATTTTTCTTTTTAAAATTTCGTATAGATTAGTATAGTCAGCAGTAATAAATTAATTAGCAGCTTCTGAGTTTTAAATTTATCTTGGGAAACATTGATAATTGCATAAAGATTAATTAACGGGAAATGCTTATAAATGATAAAACTAGCGGGCAATCAGCTGGATGAAGAATCATGAACTTAATTAATTTGGCGACGATGGAATTTTTAAGAGTTTGATTTTAGAGGTAAAACTATCAGAGGATATATATTACGATTAATTAGATTATTCATTGACAACTTAATTATTAATATTTCATTAGTTCGAAAAGGAATTATTGTATTTTCAGTAATAAAAATGAGGATTATTAGTCAAATTTGCCATTGAATGTTGTTATGTTGACATAAACTTGATGACGATCGAATTGGAATGAACATTTTCCAGGCCACTGAGTTGTTTGTTATTTTTAATTTAGAATGTGATCCATCATCATATCCTTATCTATATCTAAGGTTTACATGGTCGTTGATTAATTTTTTTCCTGATATTCTTTTTCAACATTAAAGGACAGGTTAATTAACAAGTCACGTCATCGAGGTTTATATTTTATCAGTAATTTCTTCTTTTGTTTATTTACATGCATAGAAACAAAAATTGGATTATCTGTTTCGGATTCCTTTAATGTTCTCTGTTAAATTTAAAAACCTAAGAAAATTTTATGAAAACAAATTTAATTTAAAAAAAAAAACCAAACAAACAGGTGTAGGAAGGAGCCCCTGGTTTGTTTCTGTCTCTGACCCTAAAAGCAACATTTAAGACATTTGAGAAATGCATAACAAATGTTTTGGATGTGGCGAGAGCACTCACAAAGTAACTATTTCACCCCACATCTCATACATGGAAAAAAAAAAAATCTAAACTTTAAAATCTTTGTGGAACATTAATAATTGAGTTAGATTTAGAGACATGTTTTCTGTTTTTCTTAATCATACATGTATTTTACAATATATAATACATATATATTTACAATATATATTACCTCCGTCCTAAATTATAAAATTAATTTTAGTAGTATTTTGTTGTCTCAAAATGTAAGATAATTTGACAGAAATAAAAAAATTATAATATTTTTATTTATTACCTTTAAGGGAAGAGAGAATAATTAAAATGAAAGGCATTTTGATAATTTTATATTTTTATCTTAAAAAAAATAAGGTTGTAAAGAGTTATTACTAAGCTTTACTAGTATGTATATTCTTATCTCAAATTATCTTACAATTTGAAATAAAGTGAGTAGCATTCACTCATCTGATTTTATTTATAAATTACTTTTAACATGTTTTATTGAAATCAAAAAAAAATTTTAAAACTTATAAATTCTATCTAAAAATAACAAGTTCTCAACTTTACTCTTAATAAATATATATATTTTAACAATTTTTTTATATTTAATAGAGGGTGAGAAGGGAAACGTATGATGAAAATTTAATGATGTGACTTATAAATAGAACACACACAAAAAAATCTTCTCATTATACCATGTAAATAGAAATGGAAGGAGCATGCTGTACTTTGTGTGTATGATCATTTGTTTTTTATTTAAAAAAAAACAAGGAATTGATGATGATAGAATGGGACTAAGCTTCCTATGGAAGCATTTGGTAGGGGCATTTTGAAGGAGAGGAAGAGTCGTTCCATTCTCATTTTTTGGATGGTAAAGATGGGTACTTAAGAAGGAAAGAAATTATATTTTGACCAAAATATCCCTATCCTATATTAAAAATTCCAAACTGACCTTAATGTTAAATAAAAATTTTATCTTTTGTCAATCTCTCCCATGATAAAATAAATTTCATTTCCTAATAAAACCCAATACATAATTCATTCATGTACCAAATTTCAATTTAATTTTTTCATTAGATAAATTGTAATATAAATATATTATTAATTCTTCGAAAAATTGTGAATGTAAAGTGGACGTATGGAAATGCTTAAAGCAAAAGAAAAAGTTAATAAATGATAATATAGTTATGTTTCTAATAATAAAACAACAAAAAATAAAAGCCAACTTAAACCAACTGAAAAATAGTGCGACTTATCTCAAGTTTGGTGCGTGTGTGTGCATGGCAATTTTGTTTATAATCTAGCTCCTTTAGTTGATAAATACTTGTATGTTAATGAAATCAATTTTCCGAGGTTTTATTTATAATTATGTCTGTTTTTCTTTTGTTTAGAATAAGGAAGGATGAGTGAGTGAGGGGGATGATATTTTGGATTAGATTGAGGCAAATTGGGAAGAGGAGGAGGGAGATAGAAGGACATACATTGATGATGAGGACATGGAGGAAGGAGAAGGGAGGCAACAAGTGGGAAAATGATGGCAAAGAAAAAAAAAAAAAAAGCAAAGTTGACTCTTCCAACAACGACGTACCATGAAAGGTTTCCCCTTCTCTTCCCATTGGCCCATCTCTCTCTCTCTCTCTCTCATATACTATTCTTCATCCTCCCTTCTCATCTTGCCACTTGCCAACCATCCTCCCTTTCTTTAACTATTTCACATTTTGTCTCCTCCCATCCCATCTTTTCTTCTTCTCTTTCCCCATTCTTTCTCAAATAAGCAGCTAATAAGAAATCATGTCACCTTAACAAGTGGTTTCAGAGCCATGGCATACGGCATTATCCTAAAGATTAAAACTTTATGGTATCATGATTTGATTCGTGCAACACAGACCTGCTGTGCAGATGTAATATATATATATAGATGACTAATGCTTATCCGTTTGGTTGATTTTTGGACACTCCAATCCATGCCTGTGTGCCTCCAAACATGGGAAAGAGACTCAAAGTTCAGAAGTTGCTGAATTATTACACACATGAACAGATACGAATGAACAGTTTTTTTTTTTGTTTTGGGTCACTTTTTTTTATACAGGTTGTTTTCTGCACCTAATTTCAGCTTCTTTCTTACTATTATACAATTCACCTTTTTTTTGCAACTTGCAACTTGCAATTTGCAACTAACACCACCACCACTTTCCTCTTCTACCCCCACCCCTGTTTTTCTCCACCTGCTTTTCTTCCTTCCCCACAAAATTTCAAATTTCAGAAAATTACACCAAAAATAAAAATGAAAACAAACGTTACAAAGCTCCAATTATTTCGGTTCTTGCTAAACTCTAACGTTAACAGCTCCATCTCTTTCCTCTTGCCGTGGCAGCTCCCACCAACAGAATCCGACGCCGGCATTTTCAGAATGTTCACCCCAAACAGCCGAACTATCTGAACCGGCTCCACCACCGGTCCAACTGAGTTGTACAACCCCTCCATTCCGGTCCCTTCACCACCTACTCTCTGGTTATTCCGGCCTTTCCAGTCAATGTAGAGCTGGCGTTCCGGTCCGGTTGACCTGTGGAAACTGACCGCGTCGCCGGCTTTCAGGTTCTTCTCCTTCACGAACCGGCTCCAACCTTTCGTCAGCACGTAGCTCTGGCTACTGTTCCAATACGAGTACCGAAACCTCCACACTTTCCCTCCATCGTCCTCGAAGTTCAGAAGCACCCCCTTGGCCGCCGGGCAAGAAGCGCCTCCGTTCTGCAACGGGAAGTGCTTCTCCGCGTGCTGCTTGGGTATCACCAACCGATTCAGCTTTCCCACGTCGCTCGGCGTGACGGTTTTCTCGAACAGCTGCTCCCGCGCTTTCTGAGTCCGCTCGAAGCACAACCCTCCGCCGTCGTCCTTTCGCAACTTCCCTAAGCTTCCACCGGCCAATCTGCGGTTGCGCTTGCTCTGCTGGAGTTCGTCATTGTAGGTGTGCTTCCTCAGCATGTCCACGATCTCGGCTTTGGAATGCGAGCTAAGGAACGCGGTCTCAATATCGTCGTCGGAGCTGTTCCCGTTGAGGGGCTTAAAGTTGGTGACGGCGTCCTTGCCGCGGAACCTCTGGGCGGCGATGTCGTAGGCTCTCGCAGCCTCATCTTCCTCATTGAACGTGCCCAGCCAAACGCGCTGATGCTTCTCGTATATCTGGGCCCCCCATCGTCCATTGGGCTGCGGCACCACACCCTTGTACCTGGACGACGGCAGTTTCCGGGACTCAGCTTCACCGCCGCTATCGGAATCCACAACAGTGCTGGCACCGCTGCCGACCCGGCAGAGACTGTTGGTTGGCAGCGGCGGCGATGACTTTTGAGGCGTCACGTCGAGCAGGGAAACAGTAGTATTCGCCGGAGAAAGCGATATGGACACCGAATCACTCGTAGTGCTTTCATCCACGCAGCTACTCGCATCCATGTCTGTTCCGTAGCTATGGTGCGTGTGAGAGTAAAGCAAAAGGACAAGACGAGAGAGAGAGAGAGAGAGAGAGAGAGAGAGCGAAGAAGAAGAAGGTATTGATTTTTTTTGACTAGGAAGCAGGAGAGAGTAAGTGTGGGGATATAGGGGAAGAGAAGGGATATATATATATTTTTAGGAAGGGGGGGTGGGGGAAGGAGTGAATGCAATATAATAATGTGAATGAAATGAGAAGAAAATAAATGTGTAATTGGGAAAGTTATAAAATGAGGGCCGTGGACACTGTTATCTGCTTTATTATTAATTGGTAATAATAATTGTGTGTATGTGAGTATGTAGGGAAGATATATATGAGGATGAGGACTAGGGTGGGTCAGTCAACTCAGCTGGAGGGTGTTAACTGTTGTTTAAGGAACTAGCCTGGAAGATTCATGCCCTGTGCCCAGCCTCCTTTGGTGGCAACAATCAAGATGCACCCAGATTAATAAAATCAAACACAACCCCCTCTATGTTTAATTATTTACAAACAGTATTGGTTGAGTTTGTAAATATACTTTTTAATCCTATTTATAAAACACTTCTAACATATTTTATCATAATTAAAAAAATTTTAAAACTTATTAACTTTATATAAAAATTTAATAATTTTTAAATTTTCCCTTATTAAATATATATATATAGATATATATATATATATATATTTTTAATAATATATTTTTTCTCTCCAACACTCAATGGGGGTTAAATGGAGAAATTTACAATAAAAATTTAATGAGATAATTTTTAAATATGACCCAAAAAAATCTTCTTTATAGTATAAATTTGCCACTTTTTTGTTTAAAAAAGTATAGGTGAGTAAAATCTCAAAACTTATCAATGAGGGCATTTGCCCGTCAACCAGATCTTTATATCGATAATAAAATTTGAACTATCAATCTTGCAAGTTATATATAGGTCAAATCTTTATTAACTAAACTAATATTTATTAGTCTATAAAGCCATAATTTTCTTATGTGAATAGTACTCATTTCAACCCTATCTATAAGTCATTTATAATGTATGTTAATGGAATAAAAAAATTTAAAACGTATCAACTCTCTCTAAAAATTTAAAAACATTTCAGACTTTGTGCCTATTAAATATGTATACTTTAATAATATATTTTCTCTCATTAATATTTAGTTAAGTCAAATTTAAATATTGCCAAGCTCAATTGAAAATAACTCTCCCAAAGACGTCTAATGTATTTACATGGACTTGGACTGAAGATATCATGCTTAAACAGTCATAATTCCCTCCATTAAGAATTGCACCAGTTGGTCACTCAAAACTATTTAACGGTAATAAGGAGAAAATTTTGTAACAAAAATTAGTCAATAAAATGTCTTATAAGTAAAAAAAATATTTTTATTTTTTTTTACCTTTTAAATGGTACTGGAAGAAATATTTCTGTGGTCCAAAGATCCATTCCTCTCAAATTTTTTTAGCAGAAAAGAAGACTTAACCAAAAAATGCTTTTACCTTCCTTTTAGAAATAATCTGGTACTATGTTAAAAAAAGAAAAATGATAATAATAAATGAAAAGTATATATAATAATTAATATTTGACACGAAGCAAGGGGTGAAAGCGAGCGGTGAGGGTATGTGAGAGTTGTGGGGAGTGTATGTGGGGTAGGGCCCAGGTTTGATGGCAATCACATGAGGGGTGGACCTTCCTTCACTGAAGTTCATCCCCCCTGAACTTTCCTGCCATAGCCTTATATACGGTGGCGGAGCCACGTTGGGGTGAGGGAGTGTAAGTGCGTTTTTACTTTGAAAAAAATTATAAATAAAGAATGTAAAATTTCTAACTTTACACCTTTATTTTAATATTTTATTTCTTTTAACTAAATAAAAAATATTTAAATTTAAAAATTTATTAGATATATAATATTTTAATAATTTAAATAAGACATGAAGAACATATTTATAATAAAAACTATATCAACTTATTCAATATAATTTTTTAAAATATAAAAATGATGATGAATTTATTTATATTATTATAATTTTAACTCTAGCATAATTATTACTATTTTTAAAAAAATATTAATTTTTTATTAAATTATTCTACACCTTCTAACTTAAGGTCCTAGCTCTGTCACTGCTTATACAACTTATACACTTCCCTTCACCATCTCTCTTAATTAATCTTCTCTTTTTAATCAAATCTATGTGAGATACTACCTGAGGTTGATCCTAGTAAAAGATATTGTAATCGTTAAAGTATGAGGATTTAAGTTTGATTTTGTGTGAATGCAAAAACATCAGTGAGAGAATTAGTCACTCACACTTAGGCATCACAATGGTCGAATCTGATCAAGTCAGGTGATCATGCACATAAAAAATAAATGTGATGTATATATGTATCTATCTATCTTATCTGGTGCTGCTGCTTGCTCATCAGGATCTTCTCTATTATTTGTAGTTTGCTTTTGCTGGACCAATAAGGCTGCAGATAAACGTTGTGGGGAAAGTGGATGAAAGAAATAGAAACAAGATTTTTCCAGTTGGATGGGTTGTGGGGCCTACACTTACAGGCATGGATGGATATAGTCTCTTGGAACTGTGATGTACTACATAATGAGCATGAAAATTCCATCCCAACATAAATAATTCCCTCTTTGGCTTCTTCCTTCCTCAGTTTCAGTCTGTCTTGTTCTCCAGGTTCATCCAAAGTCTTCACATACTAATGATAATGATTATATCTATTCTCGCACCAGATTCCCCCCCCTCCGAGATTATCATCATAATAATGCTTGTTTATCTCTCTAAATATTGGTTTTTTTTTTTAGTAACAAATCAGCCGGTATTCGAAACTGAAAGATTTAATTAATTCGAATCCAATTAAGTTACATTCTAAGTGGGCTAGCTCTCCCAAGCATATCACTTCTATTCCTATCGCCTTAAAAGCGAATCACGAGTTGATGATTAAGGGGCGTACTCGTCTCCATTCCAAGCATCTTCATTTGCTTTTTAAAATAGAATTAAGGTGTGATGATTCCTTTGTGTTTGTTTTAGTTTTTCCCACAAAAAGAACCATCCGTTTCATAATCCTTCTATAGTACATACATACATACATACATACATACATACATACATATATATATATATATATCCCCCCTTGTGCTGTAATAAAACCGGGGACGTTTCATTTGTGAAGTGTGGGGCTCGTCTTGTTTTGCTCCATGCATTCTCTGTCCCAAAAACCAAAACGAAGCATCTTATCGTAACAAAGACTTCGGATTATGCTACAGATTCAGACAACCATTGTGTTGCCCCTACACACACACACATTTTTCCTCCCAATGTATATGAATCCTTTTTTGTCCAACAAAAAAAAAACACACACACACACACACACGCGAATCATTTTATTCAATCGCTCCGTTTTATCAGCATGCTCAAATTGCGACGGATTAATTAACCTTGTAAAAATGCAAAAAAAAAAATTTGTGAACCATTTGGTATCTAATATTACATCTCAATTTGAATTCAAATTAAATTCAACTCCAACTCGTGACATTCAGACACTTATCACTTAGATTCCGCAATTAATTATTTGTAATGAACTTGCTATTATTAGTATTGATAAGAAAGTAGCAGCTATTAACTACTATTACTCTATTAGTTTATACTATATCCGTTATAATTAATAAATAAAAATAATTAATTAAATAGAGGATGCAGTGTACGGAAAAGTCCTGAGCCTTGATGTGGGTCCCACATGGACAAGTGGATCAAAACCGAGGCATGGAAGACGGTGGGTTATTTATTTGTTTTCATAATCGAGCCCTTCTTCAATGGTTTTGGTTTTGGGTGGGACCCACGAATAGAGATAGTGATAGAGAGAGAATGAGACAGACAGATTCCCACCAAGGTTATTCCAATATACTTGCGCCCCATGAATTTGGATAAATCCACGCTTAACTCAATTATTATTTCCCGCGTATACAAATTATATTACCCACAATAATTGTTTTGTTTCTGTTGCATTCTTTATTCGATTTACATTTTGTTTTCTTCTACTTTATCAATTTATTTCTCTCCCTCTTAATATTCTTTTTTTTTTAATTTTCAATTTAATTTGGACGACCCATCATCGCACATTATATTTTATTTCTCTCATAAATATGCCTAACTGTCCTCCATTCCGTGTCATTTTTTTTTTCACATATTACCAGAGCATACTGCTAAGGCTCTCGAAACACTGATTATAAAATACAGGGTCTCATAAAATATTCTTAAATTCGAGTTTTATATATATATATATATATACACACACATTCAAGATCTCACCTTTATTCCTTGCATTCTATCTGTCATGTGAAAAAAAAAAGATATAAATTAATTCCGATATAAACACTTGCACCCACTTGGATGTTCTTTTTCCTTTTTTTGTATCGTCGTAGGAGTTTCAGTGGCATAATTTGACTTTTATGTTATTTTCTTACCAATGGAAACAGAGAATAAAATGAGACTATATGAGAGTCTCTCAACTCCAATAAATGATTGTATTTATAATGTGAAGTTGTGATTTTTAATGTTGGAACCGGCTAATTTAATTTAATTATTGATGGCCAGGCTCAATGTCATAGTATCATGTCAATCTTGCTAGCTAGTTGAATCAGTAAATCCTTAAACTAGTAAATTCTTAAACTAATATTTTAATCAATTAATAAAATGTTTTGTTTGAAATCAGTATAGCTATAATTGGACTGATTCAATTAACGGCTTGATGAATAAGGAAGGAGAGGAGCAGTAGAAGTACGTTGTGGAGGAGAAGCAGAAGGATACGGAAAGGTTGTCCTTTCAGAAGCGTCCACTCCTGCCGAGTGGGAACGTTGGAAGGGAATGCGCTGTCTCGGACTGACATTCGGATAATTTTATAAAAAGGCTATCATTCCCTGTTCCTACGCTCTATCATCCTTTTCGTGCTCCTCCCCGCAGGCCACCTGGCCTTCTTTTGTATCTCTTCTCTCACTTCTCTTAACTTAAGTACTTAATTAATCAATCATTAATTAGGTTTTGATTTACTTCTCTCTTCACCCTTTTTTCTCTGCCCCTTATCCTATTATTATTGGTTTTTGGTGT